TCTGCTAATATGTCAACAACAGTTTTTTCTGCCACCAATTTCAGTGCAGCCAGGATTTTCTCTAAAAGGAGAAGATGCTGGAATTTTGGGTTACTTCGTGCAGTGAGAATGCAAATTACTCTAAGTTGCATTATGGTTCTAATAAGCTCTTGTAATAGCATTAAGGACAAACACTCGATAATGCTGCCTTCAGAAATGAGGTAAAGCAAATTTAGGAAGAAATCCAGCCCATTCTCCCCCTTCCTGCCACATTATCAGTGTTTGTGGAGTCTGATTTTACTCAAGGGTGGCCAGAGGTTTTAATGAGTTACTCTCATGGGCTTGCCTTGCTATTTAACACGACAGAATTGCAAATCATATCGATAAAAAATCTGCTAAGCTATTTTGAACTGCTCATGGAATGGGACCCTGCTGTGCTACTTGAAAACAATCATTTTGCCCAGCTCCTCCCCTCTCAGGATCCAGTTATGCATTTGGCCTAACATTACATCCCCCAGGCCACTAGCCACAATATTTTAATTTAATTTAAGGGAGGCTACAAATAGGTCAGAGGAAACTAAGGGACTTAGCTGTTCAAATCAAAATGAAAATCATCTGGGAGCCATATTCTTATAGTCTTTGGAAGCTCTCTCCTAGTCCTTCTGCATAGGTCCTCTAGGTTTTGAATCAGTTTTCTGCATATCTCTGAATCTCCTTAAAGCAATGTCATTTTTTCCAATGATGTAATCTGTGGCCAGTAGAAGACCTGAGAAGATGCATTCCCTCCATTCCAAAACATCTATCTAATATGGAAAATCAAGGGGGAAAAAAAAAAAAAGGACAGCTTTCAGGAAAATATTGAAGTTTTCACTGATGCAATAGTTTGAAAATCACCAAATTGTCCTTCATGTTTAGCTGCCAAATTGAAAACTGTCCATTTTTTTCCAACAAAAATCTGAACAAATCCTCTCATGATAATCTTATCATTATGAGATATATCAAAACCAGTTAGTTCCTTTCCTTCCCATCATAATCCCTTACATAAATTCAGAAATCAAAATCTTTTGGTTATCTAAGCCTATGTGCTATTTGGAAACCAATTTATAGGAGTAGGATTTAACTGTTGTCCCAACAAATGTTCCTTGTTCCTAAGTCAAAACAATTTAATCTGAAATATAGGTTACTGCATCCTGGCATCAAACACAGGGGTAGGTGCTGTGCATAAAATAGGGAAAGCTCAGCAAATTGCTCCTAGGGAAAAAACTAACCAATTTTTCCTATTAAAACCTAAAGGGTTTATTTTTTATTTGTTTAACACTCAAAATTTGCACTGCACTGATTCATTTTGATTTGGTGTATAAGTTACATGTTGTTATTCTGTTTTTATTCTTTCTGCTGTGTGACCTTGGGATAAGGTTTGTAGGATGCTGATGTAGAGTCTGCTTTGACTCCAGAGAATTTCCGAAATTCCCTGAAGAATTTCTCAGACAACTGTGTGAAGGTCCCTGGCTCTCTGAGTGACAATGTGCCTCCATGTTCACCACAGGCCACCCCAGACATTCTGAGGAGCTGCTGGAGTAGTTCAAAGGCTGAGATGATGAGTGTTGCCCAGGAATGACCAAGGCATGACTGGAGTGCCCATGTTGGTTCTAATCTGGCAGTACAGCTCAGTCATAGACCTGCATCTCTGTTTCTGGACTTGGTAACTGCCAGATACTGGAGTTTGTAACGATATTCAGGCAAGCTAAGCTCCAGCCAGTGTGAGTATGCCTTCCTACATTGCAATCAAGGTTCCTGCTGCAGGGTAGATATGGCACACACTTCAAAAATACTCTATTTATATTCTTACCTACTGGTAAATACATTCGTTGGACCACTCATGCAAAATGGATAATGCAAATGAAACTGCTACATTTGGAATTAAGCTTATTTTTGTACTCCAGTGAACATGACTGTATTAGATTGTTTTGGTGGGTTTTTTTCCTTTTCTTTTTCCTTTAGGGTGTTTGCCCTGCTATAGTCCCCAAAGCACTTGTTTCAGATCTAGGGGAGGATATCAGAGTAGTCTGCTGCTGAGCCAGAATGGTGCAGGCACTTCAAACCACCGGCTGTCAAGCCCACAGACTCATGACTAGCATTGATCTGGAACTGATGAGTGGCTGGCTGTTTTACAGCATTGCAGCCTTAGAGAAGGCTGCTTTCTCCTCTCTGCAGGGTGAGTGATAAATTCATGCAGAGCATGGTCAATTGCAGGGGAGGAAACGGAGAGGTTCACTGAACTCGGAAGTGACCGCTTACCCTGTACTCAGCCCAACTTACACTAATGCATTGATGTCATGTTCATATAGGAGGCAGGGTAAGTAGATTGACATGTCTGTGTATACTGTATCCCTCTCTCCTTCTCAAACAGAACCCAGAGTCTCAGCAGTACCATAAGCAAGTAGTGAAATTTCTGGTGGCGGCAGCGATGGCTCCATCACCAGTCCCTGCCAGGGCTCAGCAGAGGTGAGCAGGACACCCTGTGCAGACCCAGCACAGCACAATTCCTGCCTGACCAGCCCACCCACCTCTGGGAACTGCCCCTCACACAGCCTTGGAATCTGCACAAAGACTCTCCTCCAGGGAACCAGCATGCCCTACTCTCAAGCCTTTTTCAGTTTATCTAGTCATACACAAAAAAACTCTATGAGAGAAAGGTGCTACCTAGCCGATGAAGCACAGAGTGGGATAGTAGAAGGAAGCAAAGGAGAACAGAATCCTTCAGTAGCCCCCTCTCCCAACACCCTTCCTCTTTCTTTAACTTTGCACAGCAACCAGCCCCTTGTGGACACCCACTCTAGTCCAACACTGCTCCATCTTAGACGAATTAACACTTCTGGATCACCACTGCTGATCTGTGCACCAAGGAAAGATTAATGTGACCTTTCAGAACTGAATGCTCTGTAAGCACTTCAGAGTAAGAGGAAGAAGGAACTGCCAATGTGGCTCCAAGGAGCACGACCACTTACTCCTACACAAGCAGGAAGAAGCTCTTTGCTTCCCTGTCTCCTTGTCACTTTGTAGCATGTGCTGCACCAATTATGGGGATCACCCCTTCTCTCTGCTTCCCTCCCTCATTGGAGAAGGTGCAAAACCTCATGCTCTCACCAGCAAACTGCTGCTTGGGTCGAGCCCTCTTTGAAAAAAAGACTATCATGTTTGCTTGCTGGGCTCTGCAGTGCATAACAGAGTCTGCATTGCAGTCTCAAACTGCAATCCAACACCATCTGTCCCTTCCACTTGTAGCACTGCATCACCCCAGGGAGTCTGTTCTTCAGGGGGGATCCAGAGAGCCCTGGCTGGGCTTTCCCCTGTACCCATGACAGCCAGCAAAAGGGCAAAATGTCCTTCTGATTTGTATGACAAGACTGAAACTAGAAATGGCTGCTCAGTGAAACTGTGTGAGAAACCAGGCAGGGAAAGAAAAGGCGCTGATTTGCTTTCATTTCATTATTTTTTACAACAAATTCAGTACAATGAACAGCAAATATACTTAAATCCTCGTCAGGCACCTTGGGGGAAGGAAGACAAGGAGCAGACACAAGCAAGCACAGAGCTCTGCACTGCTGTGGCTACATGGAAATCTGTCTGAAGGAGCTACTTTAACAACTGCCCAAGCTACCAACTCACCTTTCCAGAGTGTTCTCAGATTGGAGGGCAGAGCAGCAACACAACCAAGGGGAAAGACAACAAACCTGGAGATATTTCATAGCTCTGCTCAGTCTCTGCCTTACTGAGTCACACCAGGGAAGACACTTTGGCTTTATTTATCCCTAGCCCTCCATGCACTTTCCGCCAGCCTGTGCTATGAAGCAAATTAACCCAGTAGTGAATTCTTCAGAGCTGCAGCCACCTCTCCCTATCCACCCGTACAGCACCTTGCACAATGTCATCCCAACCTGCAACCAGGCATGACACTCCGCTCTAAGTGAAGCATCCACAAATTCTAACACTACAAAGGTGAAGCCTGAAATTTGTAAGGTTTGCCCCAGTGCTTTCCCTCTGAGTCTGTGACGCTGGGAGGAAATGGTTCAGCTCTATCATGAATTAGTGTACTGACAGCTCAGTACAATCTAGCCATGACTTGCATGACTGCTTTCCCTTCACATTCCCAGGAGCACACTTTGCATTAGATCATGTTCTGCATCAGGCTCTGCTCCAAAGCAGAGGAGAAAGTATGGGGAGGGAGAAGAAATTGCCTTGACCAGCTTTCCTTGCCCTGAAAATACGTTCCTGACGTGTGGAGAAAGCTGCAGGGAGCTTTCTCTCTGCTTTAGAGAGCACAGAAGCAAGAAAAAACCCCCTGATTTTCAAGCTATTTATAAGGCTGTGGTTTCACTCACATTAGGCCTGACAACTCAACAAGGAGTAGTGGGGCTCTTGCTTTTCACCAGACCATTATGTCTTTAAACAGACACTGTCTGCAGATTGCTCTTTTTACCTCTTCCCCTCAACATAACGCCAGAGAATTTACAAAGCAAGAAGATTATAAATACATCACCAACCCATGTATTCAAGAGATAAGCGTGTAAAAGTTTATGATCCTTGAGTAAGCAAAAGGTTCTGCAAATCATGTCTCTAGACCTTTCCTCTGAGCTGGTTTTGGAACTTTTGGGGCTCTGAGAGGGTGAGACCTTGTTGTCTGGCTAACTGTTCCACTCACATGCAGCTCTACAACTACATACTTCTGCAGGGGCTCCACCTGTACTTACTCTTCTCCCAGCCCACACATCATCTCCACAGATTATACATATTGTGATCATGAAGAAGACAGCACAGTCTCAAGTGACAAAGCACCAATACACTGCAGGCCCTCTCGGGAACCTGCTAGAAGCAAAGCATGAGACTCAAGACACAATTCTTTAGCATTCACACTGGAATAAAGTAGGAGAATGGGCAGTCAAAGAAAGCACTTCTGTGTAATATGAGCACATAAGTAGAGAAAAGATTTAGGATGCAAGTGCATCCCAGGCTCTGCTCACCTCCTCCCACTGATGAATGTAGCGTATAAGCCGGGAGAGCCGCAGCAGGCGCAGCAGGCTGAGGATCTTGGTGAAGCGCACGATGCGCAGCGCCCGGGCTGTCTTGTACACCTCAGAATCAATTCGGGTTTCAACAATCAAGAAGATATAGTCCACGGGGATGGAGGAGATAAAATCCACCACAAACCAGCTCTTCAGGTACTTCATCTTGATCCTCTGTGGGTCTAGGATAATCTCTGTGTTGTCCTCCACCACAATGCCTGTTCGGAAGTTGAGGACAAGGTCGATGAGGAAGAACGTGTCCGAAACCACATTGAAGACAATCCATGGAGTAGTGTTTTCATCCTTGAAGAAAGTGATGCCCACGGGTATGATGATCAGGTTTCCTACCATTAGGAGCAGCATGGTCAGATCCCAATAAAACCTGGACAGTAAGACAGAGACGTGTGAGATCAGCTATGGGGTGGGAGAACAGGGAGCCCGAGTCAAAATAACTAGTGTGCTTTATACATCTCTACTGTTACTCATTCCCTGTGCTCTGCTTGTGTGCCTGATGTACTTAGTGTGCACAAGCTGCTAATTAAGCACTTATCATAGGAATGCTCTTCTGGCTTAGAGGGTTCAGAAAAGAATTGAGTGCATGGCTGGATATGCCCACTTGAAAACTTACACTGGGACTTCATGGCCACCCAAGAATAGACTGACATACTTGCAGTTATGACAGGGACTGTTTAGGTAAAGAAAGAGAACAGGTATTTGGAAGGCTTGAGTTTATATGCCCATAAAGCCATCTGGGGTTAAAATCATCAGGCTTGCTCCTACTGTCTGATCCTGCTTTAGAAGCAGTTAGCACTGATAGCATTGGGATCAGGATAGAACTGGAGACCATGCTGTTACCTGCAGTGTTCAGTTTAGATTTCTTCCTGAGCTAAGCTTATGCTAAGCCTGGACTTTAGGAGTTTAGCTCATGACTCCTGTGTTGTACAGAAATAATAAAGCTTGGAGGCAGGTGCCTGGAAAGATGTATTTAATCTCTAAAGTAAGCAAGGACAACATTTAACTATTGTTCCATGAAACAGTCTCCAAGCTTATCTTCACTTTAGTGGCAAGTCAGTGTTACCCAGTGGGCCTTACAACAACATTAATTTTTGGTTTTGAAGGCACACAGTCTGGATACAGTTCCTAATTTATTTGTTTGGGATTTTTAAAGATTTTCCCCAGCTATTAGTGAAAGAGATACACAATCACACAATGCTGCTGCAACTCACTCCAGAGGAGGACTAAAAACTTTTCTGGGACTTATATTTTGTTGAGAAGTCTCACCAAGTTGCTGCACTTGTCACAGCAACTGAGCAGAACACAGGGAGCAAACTGATTATCAGGCTCGGTTGCTTAAATCTGAAGATGCAACATTCAGAAAGCTGCAGTGGCTCCCCCAGTCAGTCACACAGATTAGCATGGTGTTTATATTCTTCTTAATCTCTTCAGTACTGAAAAAGCCTAACTTCCTCAACTATGAAAAAAGAGCCAGCAAGTTAACATAAGGGAGTGAACTGAGGCTTCCTTTACACCAGACATCTCAATAGCAGTGAAGTCAACAGAGTCACGCTGGATTTACAATGATGTAACGAAGGGTTTGCTGAAGAAGGACATTTAACTATTGTTCCATGAAACAGTCTCCAAGAAGCACAGTCTCCAAGAAGCTTATCTTCACTTTAGTGGCAAGTCAGTGTTACCCAGTGGGCCTTACAACAACATTAATTTTTGGTTTTGAAGGCACACAGTCTGGATACAGTTCCTAATTTATTTGTTTGGGATTTTTAAAGATTTTCCCCAGCTATTAGTGAAAGAGATACACAATCACACAATGCTGCTGCAACTCACTCCAGAGGAGGACTAAAAACTTTTCTGGGACTTATATTTTGTTGAGAAGTCTCACCAAGTTGCTGCACTTGTCACAGCAACTGAGCAGAACACAGGGAGCAAACTGATTATCAGGCTCAGTTGCTTAAACCTGAAGATGCAACATTCAGAAAGCTGCAGTGGCTCTCCCAGTCAGTCACACAGATTAGCATGGTGTTTATATTCTTCTTAATCTCTTCAGTACTGAAAAAGCCTAACTTCCTCAACTATGAAAAAAGAGCCAGCAAGTTAACATAAGGGAGTGAACTGAGGCTTCCTTTACACCAGACATCTCAATAGCAGTGAAGTCAACAGAGTCACGCTGGATTTACAATGATGTAACGAAGGGTTTGCTGAAGAAGGACACACACATGCTGCTTCTTTGTCTGATTAGAGTTTTAGAAGAGATAGATTTGCCTTCCAGATCGTCAAGATCTGGCTTTGGTAAGAGTTGGTGAGCTCAAGCCTGGGCCTTGGACTTACTGAGCTGCTAAAGAACAGTATCACTACAGTGAGGCAACTGCACTGATTTGTTAAACTCTTAGCAGGAAAACAAAAAGGGTAGAATGTGCCTTAAAAGCCTTCTCTGTATAGATTCTCTCTCCCTGTTAAGAACATAACACTTTAAATCACCTAAAAGGCATATTTAAGACCCCAGCTCTTACGCATATACAGGCAGGGTCACAAACCAGCAGCACACAGGCAATTCTCTGAAACATTCAGCAGAGGCTGATGGGAACTGACCTCAGTATGAACAAAGTTATCCACTAACAAGGTTTCTAAAAATGCCACCGTCTCTTTCCTGCTCTCAAGGTGCCATGCCCCTGCAGGCAAAGTAGCATGCAATCCTTCACCTAGTATTAAGGTACAGCTGGTGCTGCGAAATGCTCAGCAATGAGATCTGTGCATATGCTTCTAAGAGCAAGGCCGTGTCACACAGGAATATCCATTAATGCTGTATAAATAAATCCATGTTGTGGTCTTCCTTATTAAGGGCCTGAGATGATGCTGCAGCTTTCCTAGCCAATTAATCTAAATAATCGCACAATAGCAGGAAGTCTGAAAGCAGCATGTCTGTTATTACCAAAAATAAATAACCTCCCAACCATCATTCATTTGCCTTGGGGGATACAGAAGGAGATATGCACAAAGAAAATGATTTTTCCTAAGTTTCAAATTAATGGCATGAGGAAGACATGGCCAGACATGCAGAGATGTTAAGGTAAGTGGCTTTCTTCAGAGATCTTCAGATTTTTCTGCCTGTTATTTCTCTGCTGCTTGGTGATTTCAGTACTTAGCAGGAACTGGGGACAATGACAACACTGACTAAGATAGCTCACAGTTTAAGTAGGATGTTTTCCACACATGCAACCCCAGAAAAATGCTTTCTGAGTGTGACACTTGCTGCTACCCCAGTCTCTTACAGTTGTAACTGGTCATATTACAGTCGGCTGTCCTGCACCCTGATGTGCAGCATTTCTTGTTACACCAGTTCCAAGGTCTTCAGACTTGCTTCCCATATGCTCTTCAATCCCTGTCTGCTATTACTGCTGAATGTTCAACAGAGAACCATGGTTCACAATGTGGACAGGCAAAGATCAAGCGCTTAAACTCATTACATGTGTTTCTTAAACCACGGTTCTCCTCAAGGGTGTACTTGTGACTCAAAATGATTGTCACAGGCTCCCCTCGGTTCAGACCTTTAAAGCCATGGCTTACCAAACACAGAAAATCAACTTTTGTATCCAATGCATCCCTGCTAATAAAAGACTATCCATGGTGTCAGGGAGGAGTTAACCTTTGAACTCTATGAAGGAGGCAGAAAAGGCTGAAAACCACCAATAATTTGGTCTGCACAAAAATTCTAGCACAGGAAATTCAACTGCTTTTACCATGTAAATGGCTAACATTTAACTATTAAGATTCCACTGCTCCTGTACATTTTAATTGTACCCACATAGGATGTATGACATGCTCAGGGTGGCATAACTGGATTTACACTGAATAAACTATCAGGGATGGCAACACCTCAGACATCTAATATCATCCATGTGTCATTTTGTGTTTACACTGAAGAAGATCTTTTCACTCCCTGTAAATTATTGACCAGAGTGACGAATGGTGCATGTGATGTATGTAAGGGCAACACCACCTATTAATAACCCATGTTTTCTGTATTTCTGGTGTTCCTTTCACCGAGGGATTCCACAGAATTGACAGTGATGAAATTGGCTTTGCTGCACCCATGAGAGGCAGACAGAGTTATTATTCCTGTCTTGCAGATGGAGAAGCTGCATGGCAAAATTAAGAGAATGGGATTTGTCCACAGAAGTCTGAGGCTAAACAAGGGTTAGGACCTGAATTTGATTCTTGAGTCTCATCAGTTGTGAAGCTATTGATAGGTTTGAAAAAGCATTTAAAAGCGACGCATCTCCTGGACATCTTCCTCTGATCAGAGGACATCTGTCTTCCTCTCTCTTCCTCTTCTCAAAATCCAACATAAAAAAATAATAAATACAAATGTATTGTTTTATTATAGTTGACTCAGCATGACTGCAAAGCTCAGAGCCCAGGGGACAGCCAGCGCTATGTAAACCAGATGTTTGATGCAAACATACCTGGTTTTATACTACATCCTACTCTATGCACGCTTCTTAGGGCTGAAAATCGCATTTGAACATGCACAGCTACCTCTGATCTTTTAATTCCTAATATATTATTTAGTTGTAACAGAACACGCCTGAGAATTAGCGTGGTGAAGACACTCCAAGAATATACACTCTTCAAGCACAGTTGGTGTCACTCAGTTGATGTGATAGTGTGTACACTTTGTAGGTATTAGCTTGTGGTTTTTGACCAAGAAGTTAGATAATCCTTCCATTCTGCCTACTGCATAATTTAACAGCAGGCTGGGAATATTGCTTTCGGATGTCGTTTTTAAAATTAAACAAACCTTGATTTTTCAAAACTATTCCATGATGCAGTGTAACCAATCACAGCATGTCAGTTCAGGAAGGACTGGGACCAAAATTACTGAATTGCAAAAGTTAGCCCGGTCAGCATCACTGTGTCAGTCTGGCACCCAAAGTCTGCCCCTGACAGGGGCACATCTGGGGCCTCAACTTCTGCTCTTGTTCTGTAGTGTTTCCGCTGTCAGGGGAAAATAGACTTGAGGAATCT